AATCTTTAAGTCACAAGAAGAATTTAGTGTTCCCTTACTGCCATCATGTTGATGTTTGTTATTTACCATTTGTTAGCCACACATAATCTATACCACAGATGCTGAGTCAAATATCTTGAAACTTACTTACAGTGCTATTTAGAAGTCTATAATATCACAGACTTACATACATAGTCTGGGTTCAATGCTTATTGATGTGACTGTATATTTCACACACAACCAATCAATTGACTACACTGGCTCCATTACACAGAGAGAGGGACTGAAGGTGAGGCAGTTACCTTTATTACTGGAGCATCACATGTTCTGATACCATGGAACTGTCTTAAAGATACAGGCCTGTCAGGTCTGGAATCTATGCCATAATACAACAACATGAACAAGTAAAATAATCACCTTCAGATTGAATCAGGTCCTATAGAGAATTATTGGTTTTCAAACAAACTCAAGTCTGGGGTAAATAGTTTTAAGTTTAACTTTTAAAGCACGCTTGACCTCTCTGCTACATTCCTGAGCCATAAAGAAAACATCAGAGTTCGCGAAGAATCTCATTAGTGTGGTGTTGGCTGTACACTCTACTGTTGAGGCTGAAACCACCCAAGCTTTTCCATCCAGTTCAATGACTGCGAGCCCTCAAAAAAGCCGCAGGTCAAAGACAGTTATCTCTTTCGAAGCACAGTTCAGAACCCGAGTTCAGATTAGTATCCAGCCTAGTGTATCAGAATTGTGCAGCTCCTTGGATTTATGGGGATGGATGTGTCTGTTATTCAATGGGAGACATTTACCAGCAACCGATTAGCTGCCAGGAATGCAGTGTGGCCACTGCTCTGTTTTAACATGGACAGGATAAGAACGAGGTGGAGAGGGGAAAGAAAAAGAGAAGGAGAAAAGAAAAACTTATATTTGCATGCATTTTTAATGTAATAAAACATTCTAAGGCACTTCACAGGAGTATCATAAAACCAAGTATGACACTGTGCCAAAAAAATAATATTAGGGCAGTTGACCAATTCTTTTTATTCACTCAGTGACCTGGATTGGGCCAGTATTTATTGTCTGTCCCTAGCTGCCCCTTGAGAAGTTGTTGGTGAACTGCCTTCTCGAACTGCTGCAGTCCATGTGCTGTAGGTAGACCTATAATGCCCTTAGGGAGTGAATTCCAGGATATTGACCCAGTAATGAATAGCCATATATTTCCAAGTCAGGATGGTGAGTGGCTTGGAGGGGAACTTTCAGGTGGTGGTGTTCTCATGTATCTGCTACCCTTGTCCTTCTAGATCGAAGTGGTCGTGGGTTGGAAGGTGCTGTCTAAGGATCTTGTGTGAATTTCTGCAGTGCATCTTGTAGATAGCACATGCTGCTGCTACTGAGAGTCAGTGGAGGAGGGACTGGATGCTTATAGACATGGTACCAATCAAACAGGCTGCTTTGTTCTGGATGGTGTCAAGCTTTTTGAGTATTCCTGGAGCTGCAACCATCCAGGCAAGTCGGGAGTATTCCATCACACTCCTGACTTGTGCCTTGGAGATGGTGGACAGGCTTTGGAGAGTCAGGAGATGAAATAGGCAAGTGAAAGGAAAGTGGACAGACAGTGATCTAGAGGCAGCGAATTCCAAAGATGAATGCCTACGAAACTGAGTATCCATCACCAAAAGGACAGCGATTATAATTGGGAAAGCAAGAGGCCAAAGTTAGAAGGGAGCAGATATCTCAGAGAGTAGTGGGATAATAGGATATTTTTATTTATTCATTCACAGGATGTAGATATCGCTGGATGGACTAGAATTTTGTTTTTTCCGTTACTATCTGGGCTGGAACCAGCTTGCCAGGCCATTTCAGACAGGCAGTTGAGAGTCAACCATATTGCCGTAGGTCTGAAATCACACGGTGTTCATGCCAAGTAAGCATGGCAGTCAATGAGTTTTATGACAACTGACATTAAGCTAGCTTTATATTCCAGATTTCTTTTATTAAATTGAAGTCAATTTTCAATATCTGCCATGATGAGATTCAACCTCACATCCACAGGACATTAACCTGGGTTTCTAGATTACTATGCCAGTGATGTTATGACTATGTCACCACCTCTTCTCTTACAGAAAGGGAAGGTCATGTGCGGATTTGAAAACAAGATTGAGAATTTTAAAATCAAGATGTTTCCTGACTGGGAGTGAATTAGCAAGCACAGAGGCAATGGTGTACAGGGACTTGCTGTAAGTTTAAGACCTCAAGTTTACAGAAGGTAGAATGTGGGAGACTGACAAGGAGCGCTCTGAAATAGAAACATGGACAGGGGTAGCAGAGGATTCCAATGTCAGAGGACTAACAGCTGGTTTCAAAGCCCCAACCGAGAGTCAAGGTAATGCCCTTCTTCCTATGTGCCAGGTACAACAAAACTGATGCTGAGAATTATGGAGTATGATGAGAAGTCCAAAGTCTTGGTTCATGTTGGAGCCAATAACCAAGCATTAGTAAAAGCAAAGTCGCTATCGTCTTACCAGACCAATGGGCTGTTCCCTCGTCAGCAAAAGAGATGACTGGAGGTAGTTTAACCTAAGGGTCACCATGTATTAGGTGAGGGAAGAGGTTGAGAAGGAGAGTCCTTCATGGTAACTTCAGCTGGTGTAGGAATTAAACCCATGCTGTTGGCATCATTCTGCATTATAAACCAGCTGTCCAGCCAACTGAGCTAACTGAGGATTAGATAGGTCTGAGAGGTAGAAACTAGGAGATGGATTAAATAGCAGCATCTCAAAGGCAGTAATAAAGACCTTCTCACACATGTTCATCAGTATAAGAATAGCAACACAACTGGAATAATTGTCTGGCTGCAGGGATAACATCGGAGGGAAGGTACCAGATTCCGGGTCTGAGACAGGTTCGGCTTGTGCCTGAATGAGGAATCTTTCAAAGTCCTCACAAAGGAAACAATTGCTGCAGATTAGACTGAGATAGCAACGAGGAAGAAGCAAAAGCTAAAATGAGTAAGGTTGAAGTGGCAAAAGTACAACAGAGAAAAATGAAAAATGCAGGAAATGATTAAAGACCAGATCAGAAGAAAGGACAAGTGAAAAAGGATATATTTAAGAATGTGCAATCAGGATTTAAGTGACCGCACAAAAGATTGGAAACAGAACTGAAGAACTAGATACATGTATCACGAGGAAAGGGCACAATCTCAATCAGGAATTTCCTTCATCTTAATTTTTTATGTATTCTTTCATGGGATGTTGGTTCAATGATAAAGCCAGTATTGTTCACCATTCCTAATTATTCTTGAACTGAGTGTCTTGCTGGGCCGTTTCAGAGGGCAGTTAAAAATCAAACACAGTGCTGTGGGTCTTTGAGTCACATGTAGGCCAGACTGGATAAGAATGGCAGGTTTCCTTCTCTAATGTGAGCTACAGGGTTTTTCTGACAATCAATGACAGTTTCATGATCACCATTAGTGTGATTAGTTGTTCTCATTGTAGATTTATTAATTCAATTCAAATTCCACAGCAGCGATGGTGAGATTTGAACTCATGCTTCAAAACATTAGTCCAAGCCACTAGGTTACTGGTCCAGTGGCAGTAATGCTTGCTATAGATTTACAAAAGATGTGTCAGAAATTCCTATTTTCATGCCTAAAGACAAGCTTGCTCGGTGGTTAGCACTGCTGCCTCACAGCACCGGGGCCCGGGTTCGATTCCAGCCTTAGGTGACTGTGTGGAGTTTGTACATTCCCCCGTGTCTGCGTGGGTTTCCTCTGGGTGCTCCAGTTTCTTCCCACAGTCCAAAGATGGATTGGCCATGCTAAATTGCCCATCGTGTTCAGTGACGTGTAGTTTAGGTGGGTTATAGGGGATGGGTCTGGGTGGGATGCTCTGAGGTTCGGTGTGGACTTGTTGGGCTGAAGGGTCTGTTTCCACACTGTAGGGAATCTAAGATCTAAACATTGTTCCTATAGAAAGATGACCAGAATTGTATGCCGTATTCTAAAAGCAGCCTCACCAATGTCCTGTAAAGCCGTAACATGACATTCCAACTCCTATACTCAATGTTCTGGTCAATGAAGGCAAGTGTGCCAAACGCCTTCTTCACTACCCTTTCTCTCTGTGACTCCGCTTTCAAGGAACTATGCACCTGCACCCCTAGGTCTCTTTGTTCAGTAACAGTCCCCAGGGCCCTACCGGCACCTCACCCATAGCCGTCAATGATACAAATATCTCAGCAAGGGGCCTCGCAATCCCTTCCCTAGCTTACCACAGATTTCTGGGAAACACCTCAAGGTCCTGGGGATTTATCTACCTTTATGCATTTTAAGACCTCCAGCACCTCCTCTTCCATAATATGAACTCTTTTCAAGTCATGCCTATTTATTTTCCCAAGTTCCCCAGCTTCCATTTCCTTCTCCATTAGTAAAACACATGTGGACTGATCCTGCAATGAACAGCTTGTGCTGCCGTTTTCTAGCCAAGTGACCGACATTAAAACAGGCGAAAGTCCGTCCCAATCAATATCTATCAATATCAACATAATCTATCAGAAGGCACATGGAGACTGAGTAGATGTTGTCAGTTTGATGTGGGCAACTCCACAGGATAGATACAAAAACACAGGAAATGGGAACAGGACTAGCACATTCGGTTCGTCAAATCTGCTCCAACATTCAATGGATCATAGCTCATCTTCCACCTCAAGGTCACTTTCCTGTACTTTCCTCATATCCATTAATATCTATCAATCTCTGTCTTGAAAATACTCAATGACCGAGCTCCCCAAGTCTTCTGCGGTAGAGAGTCCCAAAGATTCACTTCCCTCTGAGTGAAAAACATTAATCCTCAGCTCCACCCTAAATAGCCTACTCTTTACTCTTGTGTATCCTGGCCCTAGACTAACAACCCCACAACCCCCACCCTCCACCCCACTTTGCAATCTCACACACATAGTTGGGAAGCCCAAAACAGCTGATTTCCCCATCCCTCTGCAGCAAAGAGATAAATGCCAGGGTACCATACCAGTTATCCACAGGGCAAACATGGTGATTCCGTACTGCCACCGCATACCTGTTCAAAACAAATCAGAAGGCAGTCAGTCAATTGGTCATTCCATTCCTCCATTGCTTTCCTCAGCACCACCAGCAACTCGGCACATCCCAGCAACGGCTAGTGGAGGGTGCAAACAGAAATCTCAAGTTAACTCACATAGACCCAAAAAGGCCATTCAGCATCTCAAGCCCAATCCAGCTTTCAATTTCTGATCTGCTTCTTAACTCTGCCTGCCCACTTTGCTTCCTGAACACTTGATGCCTTAGCTTAACAAAACTGTATCAATCTCAGTTTGACCACTCTGCGGCCTCAACCACTTTGTAATTTGGGGCATCATGGACAGACAACAGTTCTAAATTTCTGCTCCCCCACTGACATTATCCCTGACTGCTGATGCTCTAACTTTAAGGTTGTGTCCCCTTATCCTGAACTCTGCCAGCACAGGCCAGGGTTTTCCTGCGTACAATTTGCACCTTTCACGTTTTATTTACATTTGATGATAACTGAACAGTGACGCAGGTACCAGTGTGCCTGTGGAGTTTTAAACAAAGTGGTAACGATAACCCATTGTATAGTGAGAGTTCATGGGAATTCACTCAAATAACAAAAGCTAATCAGTGTCTATATTGTATAACTTCAATTTTCTGCCATATCAGAATAATTCATGTACAAAATGTTCTGTCCTGGAAAGAGCCTCGCATCCTACAGATACCATCATATCAGCTTGGCTCAATGTCATTAGGCCATAGGTTCAACTTCTGCTGTCAGATGGAGGGCCTATAACCAAGGTTGACACTTTAGCACAGTACTGAAGGAGCTCTGCATTATTAAAGATGCCAACAGTACAAATGTTAAACCCAAATCGTACATGCCCTGGCAAAAGGATGTAAAAGATTTAATGACATTACATGAGGAAAAGCAACTTACCATAGTACCTGAGTGGCAATAAGTTAGTATGCCGGTACAGAAAGTGATTAGGAAGACAAATGGAATAAGACATACAAGTCAGTTAGAGGCTATTCAGCCCACCCGAGCTTGCTCCAACTTTCAATGAGATCATGGCTGATCTGATAATCCTCAACTCCACTTTTCTACCTTTTCCCGTTAACTCTTAGCTCCCTTACTGATTAAAAATCTGTCTATCTCAGCCTGGAATATAATTAATAAGCTAGCCTCTAAGATCCTCTGTGGTAAATGATTCCACAGATTCACAACCCTCTGTTGTCATTTCTTGCAAGGCGGATGACATAGTAAAATAGGAAGGTTTTGCTAAAATTGTGCAAGCTGTTGGTTAGACAACATCTCAAGTACTGTGAAGAGTTTTGTCTGTTTACCTGAAAAAGTATCAAAAGGCATTAGAAGCAGTTCGGAGGAACTGACTTAACTTCTATCACATGACTTGTTCCTGGAATGAAGCAGTTATTTTATAAGGAAAGGTTTGATGTTATGATCTTATAATATTATATTCTTATATCGTTATGATCTTATGTCTTGTCTTAAAGGTTCCAGTGGAATTTAGAGGAACTATAACAGACCTTATTAATATATAAAATCCTGAGTTGACAGGATGGATGTTGAAAGAATGTTGCCCTTTATGGGAGAGACAAGAAGTAGGGGACACTGTTTAGGAATAAGGGATCTCCCACTTAAGATGGAAACGAGAAGTTTCTTTTCCCTCAGATAGTCATGAATCAAAATAATTCACTTCCCCAGACACCAGTGGAGGCAGGTCTTTCGATTATTTTTAAGGCCGAGTTAGATTCTTGACCAACAAGAGAGTCAAACGGTATAGGGTGGATAGGAAAGTGGAGTTGAGGCCATTATCAAATCAGCCATGGTCTTATTAACAGGCAGAACAGGTTCGATGGGCTGAACGGTTGGCTTCTGCTTATAATTTGTATGTAACCACTGGGGGCAAAACAGAGAGCTCTTGTGGTGCTGTGGTACTGTCCCTACCTCTGAACCTGGGCCTCCCAGCTCAAAGTCCCACCTGCAGCAGAGGCATGCAACAATATTTTTGAACATGGTATTTAGAAAATATCTGGAAAAACTGAGAACTCGGTCATTTAGCTCATTGTAGTTGGTGGGACTTTGATGGCAAATGTCTGCCATCTTTGACTTCAATATAATCAACCACACTTCAAAAGTGCTTGAGTTTGAAGCACTTTTGAACTTTCAATGGATGAAAAGTGTTAATGTAAGTCCTATCTTTTATCCTGTTCTTGCCAACTGGGTAGTCAAAAGATTCCTGGCTGGTTAGTAACAGAGAACCCTTCAGATGCTGGTCTGGCAGAGTCCAAGTACCTCGATTGGTTGTACTACTGCCTGGGAGCTGGATGACCCTGGGTTCAAAACTGATTCTGGGACTAGTTGGCCACAGAGAAGCATTCATACAACTCAAAGTAGATTATTAATTAGAGTGAAAATTTCTTCTAATGTTCCATATCATTCTCCAAAGAGAGTAAGGAGTGCAAAGATACATTATGACAAAATTGTTTTTCAAATCAAGATAATCTTTAGGAAGCAGATGATGCCAAAGAAAATAAAGTTTGCTTTTTGGATGAAAATGCAAGCTTGATTTATTCTAAAACCTCTATGCAAATTGAAAGTAACACCAACTTCTGGAACCTATGAGAAACCTTCCAAGTTTGTGCTTTCAGTTCCCCTTAGGCTTGGAAGCAATAATAACTGTTTATCTTAGAGTTGGCTCCCAGTGATAATGACTCAGTTTTCAACTTAAAACATCTTTTCACTGCAGTCTACAAATGTTTAACCAGTTCCACATTAAAGGCAGTGTGGCAGATTTTAAATACAGACATGGATCCAGACATTATTTGAGAACAACCACCACCTACAAGGCACAAGTCAGGAGTGTGATGAAATACTTGGCTACATGACAATACGCAGAAAGCTTGTCAACATCCACGGCAAAGCAGCCTATTTGTTCAGTTCCCCGTGCACCACTTTAAACATTTACTCTGTGCACCTCCGATGCACAAAGGTTGCATACCATCTAGAAAATACACTGCAACAGCTTGCCCTGGTTCCTTCAACAGCACCTTCCAAGCTTGCGGCCTCTACCACCTTGAAGGGTAAGGGCAGAAAACGCAAAAGAACACTGCCTGCAAGTTTCCCTCCACGTCACACACTATCCTGACTTGGAAATATATCGCTGTTCCTTTGCTGCCACTGGCGTATCTACAAAATGTGGACTCCCTGGTGGTTTCAAGAAGGCAGATCATCACCACTTTTTCCAGGGCACTTAGGGCAAAATTACTGGCCTAGTTAGCAACATCCACAGCCCATGACTGAATAAAGAAAGTGAAAGGGAGAAAGCGTGACCCAAGGCTGGGGTGTACGATTTCCAGATGGTGCTCAGGGGACGTTTCAAAGCTCTAGTCTTGTATCCAGAACTTACTGATTCAAGGGATATTTCCAGCCCTCTATTTAGTGAGATAGCTGAGGAGGTGTGGGCTCTGCAAAGCAGCAAACAAAGCCAGAAAAGGCAAAGCAGAGATGTGTTGACAGGCAAACAGGCTGACTCTGGAAGGACACAGCTCTGGGCAGACAGGGAGAGTGGAGGGAGTGTCGTGGTGTTGGAGGGTCACCTGGAATTGATGCCTGGGTGAAGGAGGGGAATTGAATTTATCATGTTCAACAGGGACATCACATACAGGAGGCCAATCATGGAGCAGCAGGGAGATTTGAGAGAGAGGCTGAGTAAGAAAACACCCCTCTCCTCCTGGCCCACAAGGAGAGCTGGAAAATTCTTTAGCCACTGGAACAGACTTGCCTCGCCTCTGTACAGTTGCTGCATTCCCACTGTCCTGGAAAACCAGCCAGCAGGCGATAAACCAAAAATCTATTAAATGTTGAAGCATGCAGCCTAATCAAAATATTTGATTGACTGACCTGCTTCTTGACAGCAGGTTAGGCATCTTTCCCTGAAGACGAAAACGTAACCCACAGCCTAACAACTGGCTAGTGCAGTTTCCTCAAACTATTCAGCAAAGTGCTTCAGTTTGTAATCCAACAGGAAATTCTTTTGCTCTAAACAATTTCTATTTGAGACACAAACCTCACTCCAAGATTCCCAAGCCTTGATTACTTTATCAGGCTTTCTGAGGAAAAGACACATTTCAGGCTGAATCTTAAACTCCTTCAAAACAGACACTATCAGGAGTGTCAGATACATTGAATCTCACACTGTGTGTTTTGGTACATAGGAACTACAGGCCTACAATTTAATGAGGGGTCTTGAAAGCAAATGTCTACCTTTGGGTAAACTGTGTTTCCTCGGGGTTGATGAGGTCTGTTCCATTGGGAGTTGGACAAAGATCAACTGAAGAAGGTACTCGACATCTACCAATAGAATTCCAGGTTCAAACTTTCTAAAAGCTGGTCCTGAATCCATTCTTGCTAAAGGGGAAAGTAAACATTTGCATGGCCTATGAGGAAAAGCCAGGGCAGTGGTGTAAATGAGTAAGCTAGCTTTTTCAATGAGACAGCCAATGGCTTCCTTGAGAGCAGTAGGATTCTCCTCTAGAGCTGCGAGATTTTCACTCCAGCAGCTCCCATTTTCAACAAAAAGAAATTTGCTTTCCTTTTCCAGCTGCCATGGAGAGATGGACAGGAACTTACTGGGTTTTAAAATTATCTTGAACAGTTTCCTTTGAGAATGAACATTAAATTTCGCCTAAAGAACTGCATTAGGACAGTATCGGAGTTTAAGATTGCACCTATCTTGCAAATCATGATTATGATAACTCTCAATATCCACATCAATTCAGATACATCTGAAGAATACTGAGTTTCAATAGACATTAAGTATCAGCACAGAGAAATTCCTTTACTATGTCCATCCCAAAAAATTAAACAAAAAAAAATCCCACTTTCATTTCTTCATTTTGAATGCAGAGGAACCTAAATGTCCTTGCGCATGAACCACCGCACATTAACATTCAATTTTGAGCACTAAGACGATATGGAAGCAGGGCAGGAAATTTGAGTTTACGTAC